ATTCACGATATATGGCACATGTATCGATTACTGCTTTCTGAAAGGCCTATCAAACAAAATTGTCCACTATTTTACTAATGTGTTAACGTGAAACAGATTTCAACAATTCTACCGTACTTAACCAGCAGAGAAGTTTTAAAAGTTTTGTCGACAATTCAAGATTGATATCAAGAATCAAAGTGAGAAAATTGATATATATTAGTACTAGTCAAAACACGAAAGTAGAATCACCAAAGGGTTAATGCATCGGCAATATAAAGAGTCTACAAAATGATGGAATTCACCTCAACTATAGAAAATATCGACTGCTGTGATTACAGATTATAAATAAATGTACCAAGCTTGCAAGGCAAACAAATAGAAGATATTATAACTATTGATGAAATTACTGGAGAGACAAAACATAACGAGTGTGTCACTGAACTAACCAACTGCGAAAGAGGTAGTTGGAAATACTCAACAAACTTGCGATTAACTTGTATGGTTTCTTACTAGCACAGGTGAGAACTTGGCGAACAATGTACAACAAATTTTGCCTAACATTCATCTTCCAAAAAGGTCGATTCGTTTATCTTAGGGTAGGTAAAGTAACATGAAGAATACACGACGGTACGTCCTTAAAATACAAAATTGTGGAAGTGGAAATTAACCTGAACTTACAAAAGGAAAATCTCCGTCGGACCCCATAACTGACATTGTGAATCAAGTACATCAGAAATCCGATAAAAGAAACTCCTTCTATTTATATCGTTGTTGACTTAAAGAAAGCTTTCGACACAATAAGTCATGAATTATCGTCAGACACGTTGCAGAGAATTGGCTTCAGAGGATAATTATACTGACTGATCGGAAATTACCTATCAAACTGCCCACTTTCTGTTAAGGTACCCAAATCATTTAGCAAGAAAATGTATGTCAAGTGTGATGTCCTAAAGACCACTCCCAAGACCACCACTATTATCAAATAAAGATTTAAATATCTTCCAAATGAGCTGTGTTGGCAAATTAACCAGTTTCGCAGATGATACCGTGGTGTTATGTATATGTTATGATTGGTTCTATCTGAAAGATTGATTTTGTCAGAATTGTGGTTTGAGCATTATCTATTCGAAAACACATTTTTTGCTATCTGTATCTTACGCTAGACATTTATCAGATATTTCCCTCAATATAATGATCGGAAAATTAATATAGTGCCACATGTCATTTTTCAAAAAAAGTTAGATTTATTTCCTATAAAACAAGGTACCTTGCATCCGGTCCTGCTACCCTGTCAGTTAGCTGAATAGATAGTGAGCTCGCGAAATTAACCAATTAAAGTGTTTCGAAGTATAATCAGTTTGTGGCTCCTACTACAAACTATTGACCACGATCCAGAACGCATCGTGAGTAGAAGTATTTTCCATATATCACAGATATAGCATAGACGAATTAACATCATCAGCGAAGATACATTCCGATCATCCAAATAAAAGTCACCAAAATCGGCAGGCCAAACAAAACATGTCCGTACTCAGCAATGAGATTTCCCCGATCAACTGAACTTAACCGACCCACACGCTACTCCACTATATTATCATCATATAAACACCCACACAAAGAACAAGCTATAATTTTTAACTCCATAGATGGAGCAAAAATACAGGATTACTTACTACAGTTAGGTCCTATCGTAGATGCGAAGAATATTTTGTTCTGCTCTAGGATATCAAACAATAGGATTTGCATATACTTATCAATAAAAGATCTCGTCAATCGCTTGCTGGAGAACCCAAGCGAAATTGTTGTACTAAGAGAAACAATTAAGGCTCGAAAACTGGTGACACCATCAGATAGGTTGGTGTTATCGAACGTGTGTCCAACAATCCCACATACAGTTTTAAAAGACCAAATCCAACAGCTAGGTTTCACACTACTATCTCCTATATCATTTTTGAGAATTGGAGCAGCCATACCAGAATACAGTCACATACTGAGCTTCAGGAGGCAAGTGTATATTGCGCCGCTAGAATCTGACGAAGTACCTGAGTAAATCGAAATCAACTACGATGGTCTGTCATACCGCATTTTTCTGTCACTGGACAGCCAGATATGCTTTAAATGGAAACTAGCTGGTCATATCGCTTCACATTGTCCATCTGCACCCACCAAAATATCTACAAGTAACAGTAACAGACAGGATAAGCAACAAAAAACGCTAGCCAAACAATCCCACCAAAACAACGAACATGCGTCCAAAGAAACCACAACTTCCCTCACAATATCTCGACCTAACGATGAAGCAAAATCACAAGAAACTCTCAACGTCTCACAAGCAACACAAGAAGCATCTAGCGCAGCATTCGCCTGAAGGTTCCAGATCCTGCTACAATTTTAACAGGAGAACTGTATGCAATCCTAGGAGCCCTGAATTACATCAAAAGTAATCCTGCCCAGAAATGGATAATAGTAACAGATTCGCTCAGCTCACTATCTGCTATCAACAAGTTATATATCGCCAGTTGGCTGATTCAGCTTAATATAAAAAAAGGTACCTTGCAAATATTCTAACGGTAAGGTATCTTCGCAACTTTACACACTGATTGAACCTCATCTCACACGCATAGGGGCTTCATGGTCAAAACATGTTTATAATTTAAGTATACTTCAAAAAAGGTATTCTGAAAATAATATATAAAAGACCAAAACTTGAGCCCATAAACAAATTATGTTTCTAACAAGCAATGTCATAAGTTTGACAACACTGATCAAAAAATTTGACAAGGTCACCATATAAGGTACAAGATGGGTGGCATAATAGTCCCAAAGCCACATAAATCCAGGACGCAGCGGTCATCTATCTTCATTTAGCACCAAACGTTTATTAAATTTTACATAACAATTTAAAACTTTTGCATATCAGGATAAAGTAGACATGTTCTACACCAACAATTAAAATTCATAAGTGTATAATAGCAACTGCGAATATCAGGTGAATTAACATCGAATTATTGGTTCCTACACCGGCAATGTCACTCATGTATTTGTTTCCATTTTACGTTTACTTACTCGCATTGTTGACATTTATTGAGTGAATAAATAACATTATTATAAAGACAAAAAACCTCGTTTCAATCGTCATTTTCAAGCCTGCAATGACTTTGAGGTGCAGTCCAAAAAATTAAGGACTAATTTTAACTCCAGACAAAATTTATCTTACAAGCTGCAACTATCACTAAATAACGGATAGGATTTCTGCTAACTGAAAATAAGTATTTGGATAAACAGCAACCTATTTTGTGCCTGAAACAGGAGTTAGTCGAAAATTATGCTACAAAGGTATGTAACATCTCAAATTTTACAATTTTCTGTAAAAAACTGGCTAGAGTACCGTACAGCTGCTGGCGACGACAAAGGGGCAGAGCGTTAACGTGTTGACAGTGCCAAAAGCCATGAATCTCCAGGGTGAAGAGACATAGACCATTCCGGCTGTCCTTTGAAGACGTCTTCAATTTATAAATTGTATATCATGTAAAAGGCACCGCACGTGTTTCTAAGTGAGAGTATGTGCTTATCCTTGGAGAATACGAGTGTGCTCTTATCAGAGGATAGTCTAGACTACAAGCGAGGAGAAACTTTATAACTGAGTACATTTACCTGGATAAGCAAGAAAAAAACTGTTAGTGGAGATCGTGAGACATAAAAATATCAATAGCTTGGAATCCGCTTCTAAAAAAGCAAAGAGCAACGTGTACCTATCAACTTTTGACGCTTGTAAAAATATAAAGAATAACATTGAACTCAATATATACCTTTATTAATATATTATGACATAAAGATGAAGTTATAATTCCGAAATCGAAAAAACTCGTAATGCATTTAGATACAATGAGAATTTTGTACATCTAGTCTTAATACTGGAGGCAATACGAACAAAAACGTTCGTTCCATTTGCAAAGAAATTGAGAAAATTTGGCCACTTCAGAAGGAACTGAAAATTATTTTCTTCGCCACTGACCTTTTCAAATAGAAGCCGTTTTTATGACCTCATTACTTTATGCAATGAAAATAGGGGCGGATTTGTATGATGTTATCTCCTACCCAAATCAGTAGTTGAGCAAACGTTTTGATCTTTATTATCGGAGGAGGAGTAGGAGTATACTAATGATATTCGTATTTGTTATTCCATTACCGCAACAGGGTCAATCTATAAACGTTTTTCAGGCTGCAACTAGTGCAATATCCATTTAGTATTGTATGCACCTATGCAGAATTGAAGCTATTATTCTAGTCCTTCCTATCTGTATGTGTTGGATATTAATTAATGTGCTCAATTGATCACACACGCGATATCTTAGTCGAAAAGGCGATGACGTGGTAGTAACTTGCGCGGAAGACCAAGGTTGGAAATTGCAAAATAATATTTCATTATTTCTATTTTTTGTCTTTCTTATGTATTATACTCGTACATGCATCACACATGAAAATGTCATACCATTATGACTTGAATAATTCACCGCGCCCTGACCCTCCACGCTGACATGCAGAGATGAGCAGAATTAGGGCGTATGAAGGGATAGAAAGCAAGTACTTACAAATATTACCTGAACCACTAATTTGCTAAGTAGACAACTTCATACAAATCTATCCTTAAAATGTTAAGATCATAAAAACAGAAGATCTCCATTTGGGAATATTTCTTTTTGCATTCTTTACAGTTTAATCTTCAACTGATGGAGACTGCTAAAGCAGAACTTCATTTATAAGAAAGCAGCTTACAATTCGTTCTACAATGACCAAAATTAGTAGGGGGATATCGCCAGATTATCAGCTATTTACATACAGAGACTAAAATACATGAAAACATTGAATGCTTTTATGGACCCTTTTTACATGAAAATTTACTACTTTTCAAGAAGGGTTCTATTTAAAATAAGCAAGTTGACTACTACTTCCGTTACAGCCATGAGTGCCGCCATTTTGAAAATAATTTATTGAAATTTCTCACACCATAAACACAAGTTTTGTAATTACCAATCGTCCACTTTTCGAGTGTTCGATCGCTTCAGTTCAACGGGGGCACACTGTATGTGTCTCCACATTTGATTTTATACTTATTAAGTGATGACAATAAATTTCATATCTACTAATTTTGCAAATATTTTCAAATAATCAAGTAGCCTGGTACCAAAATGACAAACTAGGTAGGAGGTTAAACTGCATAAGAGATACAAGTAATCAAATGGAGCCAATCCCGTCGTCAACGATGGTGTGGGTCTCGGAACTACAGTGGTCATAAAACATAGCGTAGAGCGTCTGCAGATTGAAAAATGTCAATATAACGTGCTGCAATCTTTATGTAAATTTCACTCACCCCTTTGCCATGCTTTATACATTTATTATATCGTTGTTTATTAATATTATCCAATATTTCTGCTTGCAACTCATCCGAACTGTCAAAATTCTAGTTGTTTACAGTCGTGATGACAGCAACATAGGGAGATGCCATATGCGCAGAGCATGAAATTTATTTCTTGCGCAAAGTACACGCGAGAGATATTCCCTATACGCAGTACCTGAAATTCATGTCCTGTGCAGTGTACAGCGTACATCATGGTCGACATTTTAAACTTCAACCCCACTCTATAAGTTCAACCTCCTATCTCCAGTCTTCTGGAGAGTGGTCTATTTCAGTTTCAGAGGAGAGTAATTTCCTAATGTTTTTGGTTATGGTTTCATTATTCTAGCACAGGAGCTATTTTATGACACTTTTTTAATTATTGAAATACTTAAGAAGGTTCGCAACATGACCAGCTATACCTAGTATTAGTTACTTCTCACTTGTCGTCAAAAATTTTGGAGTTACAGTGTATTTATCAAACTGGGGTTTGCTGTTATAACTATTCACCTAGGAAGAGTAAAACTTCTGTTAATTAGTATATTAACGGCGATTTCCCGGGATAGTTGTGGAGAAACGCAGTTTTACAAAAAAGTATCACGTTCGCTATTGATTAACATCTCTGTACCGCAAAATTGCTTACACCGGCTAGACATGTTGAGTATAAACCAGCTAACTATATTGCTGCATGGATATGAGGCTCCGTAAATGTTCCTTCTTGTTAGTTTGCAGTTACCCTATCTAGTTAACATTCTGTTATTTCTGTACAATATGTGTTTGAAACAAAATTAACATTTATATATTCAGCGTGTTTGGATATGCTTTTGGGTGAAACAAACCCTAGGTATAGCAAATTTGCTCATAGGGCCTTGATTCATAATACTGATTATCTTTCCTACACAGTGTGTTCAACTGACTAGACAATCTACCAATTTCAATTGAATTTGGAGCAGGATGGAAAAGAAGATAATCCTGCGTATCAAATTAAATGTAAAGTTCTGGAATAATATGTTCCGTAAAACTCCGGTGATCAAATAACCTGTTCGAATTTAACGAGCGCAATTTGTTTTTTATTTGAAAATATTGGTTGGTACAGTAGTAATCCAACAGACAAATATTGTTTCTACGGGAGTTGAATTTCGCAACGGTCAGAAAATTCTCAGATATGCTGCATTGCAAACTTTAATCAATGATAATATATCATCGGTAGTAGTGAAAAATTGTATACGTACTTCGGTAGAGAAAGACATTATTGGAGAATATAAAAATTGATCGGCCAGTAATGTGCTATTATCTATAACTATGAACAATATTTTCGTATGAATAATTCGTACCTTTGAGCCCATGGATTCATTGATGCCCTCAGGGTCGGTTCGTGCTCGTATAGACACTGCACCCCAGATCATGTAGGAACCACTTAAATAAGCACTCCTCTCTTCAACGCAGCAATCTGCAAATCGCTCTTTTGGTCTTCGGTACACTTTCTTTCTTTGGTTGCTACCATGGAGACATATTCTTGTATCATCTTAAAACAGAACAGATCCCCAGTGTTCCAACGTCCAATTCAGATGATCCCGTGTAAAACACAGGCGTGCTGGCCGATGAGCTGGAGTAAGTTTTGGACCAATCGCAGGTGTTTTAGAGGTCAGGCTATTTTCCTGCAGCCTTCGTCCTACTGTCCACTGACAAATAGCCACTCCCCGTACGTCACGGCGCTTTCGTAGTACTTGAATGGCATTAAGGTGACAATTTCTTAATGTTGTGGACACAATAAAGCGGTCATCACGAGCGGCTGTAAGTCGCCTTCTGCCTATTCCAGGTCTCCTATGAAAGGATCCAGTCTCCTCATAACGTTGGCACACTCTTCGAACAGCTGCGCGTGTCATATCCAGTTGTCTAGCAACAGCTCGCTGACCAAGTCCATTTTCGATTAAGGCATTAACCTGGGCGGCTTTTTGTGTTGTAGTATGCATTAAACTAACACACTTGAACACTATTGAGATTATGAAAAACGATTAATATGCAAATTTCAGTTGCAAACGCAATAAAATTTTAATATTTGACAAATTTGTTATTTTCACGCGTTTCATTTGTTTATCGGTTGCTACCCATATAAACGATAAGCCTTCTTGTTAAATTCATACTCACATTAAAGCATATTAAAATGTCTTTCGAACAGCATATTTTTGATGTCTAGATTTCTATGCACGCAAGGGTATATTCAATTTTTCATCCAAAAGTTTTGACTAATGTTCTTAGCGATGTAGTAGCACCTACTTTCTTTTTTATAGTTTGATTCGCAATATTAACTTTACTGTATCGCCCCTAATATGCTTCATCTGCCATTTTTCTATACAACAAAAATAGTGAGGGTACGTATTCCTATACTAAGTGAAGTGTAAATTATATGTATCTATAAGCCATGACCTATAATACGAGTACATCACTTTTTAAATGACCAACAGGGTCAATAAAGTATCTATCTTTCTGTCCATTTGGCTTCATGGCAGGGTGTCAAACTCAAACGTGAGAATGGGTTTCATTAAAGCTTTGAATTTGGTACGATTTTAATGTGGGTTCCTTGCGAATTTGAGAAAAAATAACATCGAGTCGGATGAAATGCCTAATACTGAGTGTTGTGAGATAAATATTCTCCAAAAAGGTTTATATTTGTGGAAACGCTATGTTGCCAAATCACTTCAGATGGTGTGATTTATAAAGATATGTTAAATAAGTACTTGTCACAGACCAGAGGCAGTCGAACAAACTATATTGTTGATGAGACAGACAATTGAATTAAACAATTATTATTTTATTATGAGAAAAAACAATTAATCAAATTTGGATGGAATGGAAATTTTGGAGGGAAAGGGTGGAATAGAACAAAAAACCTGATTCCAATTATGGTTGTGAAAAGTCAAAATTTGGAGAGATGTTAACGTGCTCCAACTTTTCGCAGTTTAGCAAATATGAGTAAATCACGCTCAGTTGCTTAACATCTGTCCTCTTATTCATACTGTTGTCATTCATGAAAATGTGGGACATTTCCAGGAATAAACGTTTGGATTGGTGTTTTTCTTTATCAAGAACTTTGATACTTGTGTAGTTCATAGAGTGCCCTGTTGTATTGACATGAGATGCCAGAGCACATCTCTCGGGATGAATCACTTTTGTGTGATGAAATCCTTCCTTTTCGAGGTAGTATAAAATTTTATACTACAATGTGTAGGTTGGCTCTTGTTGTGGACTTCGTGTGTCGTTTTTTTTCCCTCTCAATCTTCGTATCGTCAGGTTACACCCGTGTCCGGATGTGTGGGCATGTGTATCTACTTTTGTAGTTTCATATGTGCATTCATTTCGGGCCTGACGAAGCCAACCAGCAAAAATACGTATCGCTCGGGTTACCTATCCTATTTTCTGCTCGAATCCACCTTCCTCGTTTTTGCGGATTTTGCCCATTATTTTCCTACTTTTTGTTATATACCTTTCTCCGCATGATCATTTTCTCTCTCTCTATATATATACTTCGAAGTTTAGTCATTTATTTTAACAGTGAGTAGATCTGATCAAAAGAAATGTTTTTTCCTTTAACATTTTTCTGGTAAAATTAAAGTAACAAAGTTATAGCCCTTTAGAAGTTTGAGTACCGCCCTGTCTCAATAATAATATTATGTGCTCGTGTTTGGCGACAAAGGATATAATCCGCGTTATCGGTTCATCGCATCGGAAACAAGAAAGCGAAAGAATTTGAAACGTTTATCACGATGTTTTTCGTCAGTTGGTAACGCGTGAGTGAATAGTGGTGTTTGTTGCGTGGGTCAAACGAAATAAAAAATGGCACATGTTTACGAAAATGCTGAACTTGTGGATATGATTCTTATTTACAAAATGCTTCCGCGGCATCACGGATTTGTGCGAATCGGTTTCCCAATCGAGGGCAACCAACCCCTCGTGCCTTTGTTGATATAGTACAAAGGGCTCGTGAATCAGGAGACTTAAGACCTTACAGGGGAGGGTCTGCCGGCGCACCAAGACCGCACGATCAAATACAGGTCCGCACTGAAATACTTGTCGGGAGGATACTTTATAAAACAGGGTAACATTTTTTTTTGTTTTTTTATTTTTACACACATATTTTGGTTTATCTTCCTTCTACAATCATTATCTGAAAATTAATGACTCAACTTCAAAGTCACCCTGTATATATATATATATATATGTATAAACTAGAACTACAGGCCCATGGCTTAATTGGCGATCCTTCGCCCTTCTTCTCTATTCATCGCCCTTCTTTCCCAATCACTTATGTCTAATTTCCTCAGGTTATATTTCACCTCGGTTTCACACCTCGTCCTAGGTCTGCGTCACCTTTTCTTTCCTCTTATTGAATGGATAAGCAGTGCCTTTGATACTCTATGTTCCGCCATTCTTTGTACGTGTCCCAACCATCTTAGCCTCTGAGCTCTTATGACCGTTATGTTGGGTTCTCAAAACAGTTCTTTCAACTCATCATTTGTTCTTCGGGTCCACGTACCGTTATCTACATTTTGCCACCAAAAATCTTCCTTAACACCTTCCGTTCTCGTATCTCCAGCTGTGCTTGTTCTGCCTTTGTTATCGTCCATGTTTTACATGTATACGTGACCACTGGCCTTATTAGCGTTTTGTAGATCCTGATTTTAGCTCCCCTGGATACAATTTTGCTTTTCATTAGTCCTTTTAGCGCATATATGGCACGATTTCCGGCCATCATTCTTTTTGTATTTCCTCTCCGTTGCCCAACTTTGATGTAAATACTGTGCCCAAGTAGTCAAACATATATACTTTTTCAAACTTGTAGATTTCTCCTTTTGTTGTGGTCATTGGTAAGTGCTGTCCTTTATCAAGTTCGTTATCTGCCCACTCCATGTATTTTATCTCTTCTACATTAGTAAACTCGTACAGTTCTTTGCTTTGTGCTTTTTCTTCTAGCCTCTTTACGGTGTCTATAAGTTTGACTTTACTTCTGGCCGAAATAACCAGGTCGTCAGCACTGATGCTTTCCGTAATATACTAA